ACATATTAACTAACACAACTTACATAACATTGAAACAACACTTAATCATTAAATAAAACTCCCCTTTCATACACTACTTCTCAATACTGGACATCTGTCTAAATATTATAACTTATCTAGCACTCCCTTGCACTTATATAAAATATTTCTTCCTTCTAATAAAACTAACTTTAATAGCTTCCACTGCAAAACAATAGCAAAATATATATAAATAAATAAATATATATATATATATATATATATATATATATATATATATATATATATATATATAATATCATATATATATATATATATATAATTTATATATATATATATATATATATATATATATATATATATATATATATATATATAATATCATATATAATATTATATAATTTATATATATATATATATATATATATATATATATATATATATATTTATACATATATATGTTTTAGTCTTTATATATCTCTACTAATATAATGACTTGGTGATTTGATAATTCGATCCCTATTTAAAACATTCACCAAACTAATTGCTATAGTACCATAATAACAATAGTAATAATAATTACCAGAGTACCATATTAACATAAATACCATAAGTAAATACCAAATAAATAACCAAACATTTTTACAACAACTCGATTTAGAGAATTCAATTGCACAACATATTTCTTTTAATAATTGTATAACTTTATTATTCTACTTCAATTCGTCAAAGTTTGTATAATAGTAATTCCATAAGCGAAGCTTCTTTATTAACAAATTCAGCGTGGATGATCCAGAATAAGGTTTATAATTTGAACGCATGCGTAATAGCCACTCAATCCATTCTAGGTCTGCGTTTTTTTGAAAATTCAAAACCTTATTTTGGATCATCCTAAAGAACGCTAACCCTTCTTTTCGGGTTGAATGAAGTAGTATCCACTGCATCTGCGGCGAACTTACCACCTAATTGTCCAAATAAAAAATGATTTGGTGTAAGTGGTGTGCAGTCTTTAGGATCACTCGATTGATAAGTCAATGGTCGGGAATTTATAAGTCCTTCTGCCCCAGCAAACGTTGTAATAAGTTCTTCGTCAGTAATATCCGCATTTCCCAATTGGGAATAAATTGCTCGTTTTGCGGCTTTTATCATGATTTCATGAACTCCTCCGAAATGAGGGGCTGCAGGTGGATTAAAATGCCGTTTTATACCAATATGGCTTGCTGCCTCGTTTATTCTTTTCTTTTCGCCATCAGTGAAACTTCGCAGCTCTTTGTTTGCTAATACAAAGTTGCCTCCATTGTCAGATATCATTTCTTTTGACGTTCCTCTTCGACTGCTCATCCTAAAAAATACATTTAGAAATGATTCGGCGTCCAACGCAAACGCTACTTCCAGGTGAACTGCTCGTGAAGACAAACAAGTAAACAAGGCTAAATAACGTTTTGCCCGTTTTTTCCCTCTTTCTTAAATGGTTATGAACGGACCACCATAATCTACAGCACACCTTTCAAAGGCCTTCATACTAAACTGCAAACGTTTCGTTGGTAATGGTGCCATAATCTGCGTTGCTAACTTTGCTTTTCTTCGCTTGCATTCTGCACACTCTGCTTCCCGTTTTATAATCTCTTCTCTTCCAGATACTACCCAATACTTTGTAGACAACTCCGCCAAGGTATGATTTACACCACATATATGCTGCCCTGCTTTGTGACAATCTTTTACGATCAACTTGGTTATGTGGTTATATCTTGGCAAAATAATTGGGTATCTTGTACCGAATGAGAGAAACTCAGCATTTTTTAATCGACTGTCGCATCTTAACATTTTATTTTCATCTATTCGTGGCGATAATTTTAATAAGCAACTAGTGAAATTCCTTTATTATTTATTAATTGTTTGTACTCTTCCGCGAATGTTTTTTTTTGAGCATTTATAATTAATTCTGTTTCTGCATCGTTAATTTCTTCCGTTGAGAGTGTTCCTGATGGTAAACATTTTTAAAAACAGTTATGTTGGAACCTTCGTACCCAGGCTAAAACTCGTGTTAACCTTCTCCAACTAGAGTAGCGGGTTGGTTCTAATCGCCATTTTCTTCGGATTTAATAGCCATCAAAGTATAAGTGTTCTTTACTTCTAGAATTAATTTGTCTTCGATTTCTTTAATTTCCTTTGTTGGCCATTGGGATTCCTCTTGTTGGATGAAATCAGGCCCAGTCTACCACAAGTAACTTTTTTGTAAGTCGTTTATATTTACTCCTCTAGATAACAAATTCGCAGGATTTTTCCCTGTCGGTACGTAACGCCATTGTTTCGGATTTGAATGAGATTGGATTTCTCCAACTCTGTTGCAACGAAGGTCTTAAATCTTCTACTTGGATTTTTAATCCAGGATAACGTATTCAAGCTATCCAACCAGAATATAACATTCTCCATTTTTATTGTGCAAGGCAAAGCTTCTACGACAGAGAGCGCAAGCTTCAACCCTAATACTGCACTCATTAACTCCAATCTGGGAATGCTAACTGAATTTAATGGAGAGACACGGGTTTTTGACAAAACTTAAAAACTTGACGTTCCACCAAATTCATAACCATGAACTAAATAACATACTGTTCCAAAAGCAGTTTGTGAAGCGTCGACAAATACGTGAAGAATTGAATAAATGATTTTATCATTGTTTTTGATACGTAAACAGCGAGGTATTTTACATTGGTGTATACTTGTCAGTTCGTTAAACCAGATATCCGATTTTTGTTTTATTTTATCTGGTAGCGTTTCATCCCAATCTTCTACTGACGTCCATAGTTCTTGAAATAATATTTTTGCTCGAATAACGAAAGGAGACAAGAATCCAAGTGGATCAAAGAGTTTTGAAATGTATTTTAAGAGCAGTCGTTTACTCGTAACTGGTTCTGATGGTAGAGTGTAAGTAAATGTAAACATATCTTCGGCTTCCCAAGATACGCCCAGTGTTTTCATTGTAGGTAAGTTCTCCATGTTTATGTTTATTTTTGCTGCATTAGCTTCAATAGGAATGCATTCCATCACTGTCTTTGAATTAGAAATCCATTTTCTTGCGGTCATTCCCGCCTTTTTCCACAGTTGTGTAAGTTGATTATATAGGTCAATTGCTTTTTCTTCGGTTTCAACTGAATCCATACTGTCATCCATGTATGTAGACTTATCAACAGTCTCCGCAGCCAGTGGAAATCTTTTTTTATATTTCTCTGCATGTTTTTGTATAACAAACTGTGCTTGAAAAGGACTGGAGTTGACACCAAATACAACTTGTAAATTCAAATAACCCAGGGTTTTTATTTTCTTCTAGATCCCGCCAAAGAAATCTGTGATATCTTTAATCTTTCGGATTTAGCTCAATTTGCAAGTACATTTCTGCGATATCACCCAGCAAAGCGATTGCGTTTCTTCGGAACCGCAACAGAACAACACAGAGATCTCGTTGCAGTTTTGGTCCTTGATGGATGATGTCATTCAACAAAACACCTTGGCATTTTGCAGCAGCGTCGAAAACGATTCTGACTTTTGTAGTCTCCTTTTCCAACTTTACAACGCTGAAGTGTGGGAGGATCCATTGATTTTTGTAATCATTGTTGCTTACTTTTTTGATATAACCTTTTGTTAAGTAATTTCGTATTATTTCTTTGTAAATTTCCATCACCTCCGGTGTTCTTTTAAGCCGTTTTTCCGTACTTATTGACCGATTTACTGCCATTTCATAGTTGTTTGGCAACAATTTTTGATCTTCTTTTCAAGGAATGCCAATTTGATATCGCCCATCCACATAATTTGTCGAATTTTCTGCTTGATCTAGGGCCATTTTATCTTCAACACTTCCAGCTTGCGTTTCTGATGCTGGATGAACATTTTCAATTTCCCAAAATGTTTTTAGTGTTTCATTAATTTTTTCAACTTCGGAAATATTTTTTGTTAACGTCCTGGTGTGGCAAGTATAATGAATTTAATACGTCCAAGCGCCCCAACACATTCCCATCCCAGTGACGTAAGTCGTGCTATTGGATCTCCAGTGCGTCCTTTAACTTCTGTTTTCGATGAGTGAAGCTCAGCGTTATCCAATCCAATAAGAATATCTACAATCGGTCGCTGTCCCAATCTGCAAAATGGTATAGTTTTTAGGTGACTCCAATGGTTTTTATATTTATTCCAATCCACCACTTGCATGTTACTCGTAACTCTATCAACTGTTAATGCATTTATCTACTTTTTCAATTTACCATCAATGCTTTGCAACTGAAATTCAACCGGCATTGTTTGAAATGTGTCTACTCTACCATTGAGTACATTAATCTTAATTTCTTTCATTACTCCTTGTAATCCAAGTTCTGCAGCTACATCACTGTTTATATAGGTTTGGGTACTAGCATCATCCAATAGAGCGTTAACTTTTATCGACAGCTTTCCATTTGTTAAAATGACAGGTAAAGTTCTCATAGCCACTTCTTGACTTTGATTTTTACTTGAAAACTTGGTAAGAAGAGTTGTTTCTTCCCTTTTTTCTCTCGTTTGTTTCTTTAAATGCAATAGTCTGTTATGAACTTCCTGACAACCATCGGTTCCACATTTTCTTGATTTCTCGCATTTGTTTCCAACATGATCATTACCCAAACAACGATAACATAGATGATGAAACTTTGCTTGTTCCCATCTTTTACTTACTGCCATGAATTTGAACTTTTCACATTCCCAAACTGCATGTTTGCCATCGCAAATTTTGCACGATTTTATTACATCGTCTTTGAGCTTTTCTCCAATGTAAGTTCTTTGTTTTTCTTTAAAGTTTTTAAAGGGTTTTTCTTGATTATACTTTGTATCTTCCAAACCACATAAGGTTTCCTGGGCAACTGTATAAAACTCAGCTTCTTGAATAATCCATTCTCGCAGCTTTCATTCATCCACCCCAGGACTTTTTTGCTTTTCAAATAACCATCGTAAAAATACACTTAGCATTGTTTTTGGTAACTTCTTCATAAGTTTAATGTAGAGTGAGCCATCTGCTAACTCTTCGAATTTTCCCAATTCTTTTAAATTTATGACTGCAATGTCCAAGATATCAGCAAATTTTCAAGATCATTTGGGTTGTTTGGTTTTACTGGATTAAAGTTTTCCACTCTCTCCAAATACAAGGCAATTTGTTGTTGTTTGCCCCCATACTTCCTTTTGAGTCGATCTTTTGCAGCTTCGTACGCAGCTTTTGAATACCCCAAACTTTCATCAGCTTTTGAAGCTTCTCCTAATAAGTACTGGCGTAGTTGCAAGAGCTTATATTCCGGTGTAGCTGGAGCCCTATCAATGCATGCTTTGAACGCTGCCTTCCAATTTTCGTATTGCGTTTTATTTCCAGAAAAAACAGGAATCGACATTCTAGATAAGTGCCTCCATAAGTCTTGTCCAATTTCACTTTTCGTACTTAAGTCGTTATTTTTCGGTTGAAAGTCAATACCTTTTTCACAGTACTCCGTTATTTTAGATGGCTCACCTCGCCAACCAGTTACAACAGGGCGTGTTTGATAGTCCTTTTTTACATAAACAGTTTCAGCATGTCGTTTAACTTGAGCGTCCAATTGATCATTTTTCAACTCATCCCATTCCATTTGCCGATTTTGCTTCCAATGTTTTACATATCCATCATCCATCACTCCATTATCCAATGTTTTTTTCATTAATCCACATCCATGTTTTTCATAACCAACTTTATCGATGCTATTTTTATTTTTCATTTTTTGACCAATTCTTTCAAGTTGACGTTTACGTTCGCCACCATCCCCTATTGTGACAATGCTTGAAGCGTCATCTTTTCGAGAGTAAAGATATTCGTGCGTCATTTCGTCTGCTTCCATGTAGGCAGACTCTATTACTTCAATTTCTTTTGTGACCTTGGTCGCCATTTCGAATTCGTTATTTTTCCGATATTCAACTGAAAGGTCATTCATTGTCTTTGTTGCAGCCGATTGTGCCACATCAAGCTTTTCCCAACATTCACGAACATCGTTTCTGCTCGGAAGGTCGGAGTAAAGTAATTCCATTAGCGTTCTTCTCGTTCTCCTAAACGTCGCTTTTGTCTTCGCTTTAGCTCGTTTTAGCTGATCCATCCGAATATGATGAACTCCTTCCAACTCACTTTCACTTTCAATATCGCTCATTGTTGTGTTCGATTGTTAAATAACTACCCTCTGCTACCAAAATGTTCGTGTGAAAGCGCGTAGGACGTATTAAACCCAATAATAAAACATGACTTATTTTAGCATTATATATTTCGGTTTTAACGTTAATCTCTAACTAAATAAACGCCTCCTTTATAAGTCTGTACACGATTATTTATACCATATAATATTTCCCCAAGAGAGATATTATAGGTATTTTCTAACTTATAATGATCTATATACAAAATTCGCTAATTGCCTCATTAGTGAAGGAAATCTCTAATGACAATATATGACGCTTAGAGACGTTTATAACACAACTATATTATTTACATTAAAAGATTATTTACACTAATCGCCTCGTGAACACATACATACATACATACACACATACATACATACATACATACATACATACATACATACATACATACATACATACATACATACATACATACATACATACATACATACATACATACATACATACATACATACATACATACATACATATACCCAGCTAGCAAATTACATTGGGTCAACGTATGTAAAACCATCACGAACGTTGGCTCTTTTTTCCATTGCAAAATCAACGATGATCCAAAGTCATTTGGTTAATGATAAAATTATTACCGACGGAACTAAAAACATATGGCAAATTTACAATGGTCCAATGTATGTAAAAACATTGCAAAAAGTTAATTGTTTTTACGATCTAAACCCAGCGTTGATCCAAAGTATATATTTCGACGTTGATTCAATGTATATAAATCAACGTTGATCCAATGTATGTATATACATCGCAAAATGTTGATTGTTTATACGAACTAAACCCAACATTGATCCAATGTATGCGACCAAACATTGCTATTGCGAAATTATATAACTTAAATAAAATCTTCCGTTATTATTAAAATATCAAACCACAATCAACACAAACATGATTTTTGTTCGAATGATCAAGGAATGACAACTAGGTAACAATATGGAGTAGTCATTTTTAAGATATTTTCGAAAACGAATTTTGTTATTCCTAACAAAAAAAATTTCGAAAACGAAATCTATAAGAAAAATTATCGAAAACGAAGTACATACCCAGCTAAAGTTGGAGCAAATATGGTAAAACTTTGTCAAAATTTTTTTAGGTCGATCGGATGACTTTTAAGTCCCCCTCAAGACTTAAGTTGTTCAGAAATTGTACTTTATAAAAAGAAAAATAGGTTGAGTTCAGGGTGTTTAAGGGGATTATAAATGAAAAAATTATTTCCAATTTTTTGTTTTTTTTGTTATTTGTTATTTATATTTTTATTTTAAAATGGTATGTCATCATGTTTTTAACACATTCTTGGTTAAAACGATATTTAAGAAATCAAAAAATGAAAAGTTCAAGTTGCGCAAGTGGTTATGAAATCAGCAAATGTATTTTCATACTTAAAGTTCATTTAGATGGACAACTGGAAAAATTGAACCCGTTTTAAAATTTTTTTAAATTATATATTTTCATGAAACTTAACCAGTCTTGGCGATGATGGAGGATGGGGGAAGAAGTCTTGTGCCCCCCCCCCCGACTTTTTGTAATATAACTTTTTCCCACACTAAAAACCTTGAAAGTTGACCTTATTGTATCGACAGTTAAAAGTCTGTTCTGCTTGTCATCTTCATTATCGTATCTTTGCACAAATTGCTGTATCATTCTGATTGCTCTTTGAGAATGATCATTGACAACAATACACATTTTGGCAAAGTTTTCAAAACTCTTAATGAGGACTGGATGAGCCAACATTGGGATGGAAGTGACAACCAGTCTCTCAATCTCTAATTATCCAACCCTTTCATTGAAAAAAATTAGATATGAACACTCATTAGCCAAAATAAAGAGGATTGAGAGAGGGGAAAAAACTGCCGAGGATACTGCAGAAATTCCTAAATTAGATATAAAGAAGGCCGTTGAAAAAAGCCGTTTTTCCTGTATAATTCATTTTGACGGAATGACTTTGTTTGAAATGAATCAGGGAAAAAGACTGAAAAAAGAAAGCTGTGCTCGTTAACAGTGAGGGAGTGTCACATCTTCTTAGAGTATCTGCCTTACTGCCTTCATCAAGTGAAGATATGTATATAGAAATCGTGAAAATACTAGAAGAATATGACCTTAATTCAAAAGTATGCGGAGTATGCTTTAATATAACTTCAATTAATACTGGTTCTAAGACAGGATAACTTATTAGGATTGCAAGAGAGGTAGACAAATACCTTCTTTTACGAGCACGTAAGCATCATACCATTGAGCTTAGAATGGTTCATTTCTGTGAAGCAGTGATAGTGCAGGGCCTGAAAATCCGTATTCGTAAAATTCAAACATATGTTTGAGAACCCTAAATTTGAATACGACAAAAATAACCTGACCTTTTTTGATTGGAAAAACGTAAAAGGAACAGTTTTGAAGGAAGCTGCAAGGCAAACTTTAGATTACTGTGAGACCTATATTACTAAAATAAGCAATATGAGGAATGACCGAAGAGAGTTGTCTGAACCAACAATACAGTATTTATTCCCTACACATTTCAAATTAAAAAAAATTGGAGCTGCTAATCATGCTAGGCTTTTAGGCAAGATTTTATACTACCTTAAACTTCAGTTTTTTTGTAAGCAACTGACATTTGTGCAAGAAAATAATAATATACGCAAATATTTGAAACTTATCAGTGAGTTTATCTATGTTTTTACACAAGCTGGTTCCTTCAAGCACATAAAGCAATTCAATCCCTGCGCCTGATCTTGATGCAATCTTTCAAGTATCTTGATTTAACGATTGTTCCTTCGGCTTTTTTGGAAAAACATATTTCTATGAATAAAAAACCAACAATTGCAGATGCTTTGCTTTTCTTACAAATGCCGGATCCTGATTTTTTTAAACAAAGCAAGGATTGAATAGATAAGATTAGTATCATAAATATTTTGAAGGTACCAACACTCTCTATTTTGGTTAATAAGTGTTTATATCTAATTTTTTTCAATGAAAGGATTGGATAATCAGAAATTGAGAGACTGATTGTCACTTCCATCCCAATGTTGGCTCACCCAGTCCTCGTTTCAGAGGGTTAAAAACTTTGCCAAAATGTGTATTGTTGTCAATGATCATAATCAAAGGGCAATCGGAATGATACAGCAGTTTGTGCGAAGATACAAAAATGAAGATGACAAGCAGAACAGACTTTTAAGTGTCGACACAGTAAGGTCAACTTTCAAGGTTTTTGGTGTGGGAAAAAGTAGTATTACAAAAAAAAAAAAACAATCAGAAAGTCTGATGTCACTCTCTAAACTAAAATAAGGAAATTGTAGATTTATGAAATTGTTATTCATTTTAAAATACTTATTTCAATTAATGTATAATTTTTGTCTTGATAGTGTTTGTAAAGATTTTTATTAAATGATAAATTAATTATTTAGTTCAAAATAGATTTTTTTTGTTGATATAAGCGCGAAAAAAATTGGAAAAAAGGTCGGGGGGAGGCACAAGACTCCTTCCTCCATCCTCCATCATCGTCAAGACTGGTTAAGCTTCATGAAAACATATAATTTAACAAAAAAATTTAAAACGGGTTCAATTTTTCCAGTTGTCCATCTAAATGAACTTTAAGTATGAAAATACATAATTTGCTGATTTCATAACCACTTGCGCAACTTTAACTTTTCATTTTTTGATTTCTTAAATATCATTTTAACCGAGAGTGTGTTAAAACATGATGACATACCCTTTTAAAATAAAAATATAGATAACAAATAACAAAAAAAAAAAAATGGAAATAATTCTTTCATTTATATCCCCCTCAAACACCCTGAACTCAACTTATTTTTCCTTTTTTGAAGTACAGTTTCTGAACAACTTCAGTGTTAAGGGGGACTTAAAAGTCATTCGATCGACCTAAAAAAAATATTTCCCTCAAAACGACTATCCCTAATATATATATAACGAAAATAGAAATTAATGATAATTTAATTCCAAATAATATTGAATACAAATTTTGCCAATTAAAGTTCAACGTTGAATCAACCTAAATACAACGTTGCGCCAACTTAAAATACAACGTCGAAACAACGTAAAATACAACGTTGGACCAACGTATAAAGTAAAACGTTGAATCAATGTAGAAAATTTAACCATTTTCCGACTTTAAATAAACGTTTTATCAACATTGGTTTTTAGTTGTTGGCAACGTCACATTTGTAACCATAATGATATAAAAACAACGTTGGCGGCCGAAGTTGTGCAAGCGAAACGCACGACATTGTTTTAATGTTTTAACAACGTATGTGTGCAAGCTGGGTGCACACTAAAAAGTTGTGTTGAACCGTAGGCCACAATATGTTGTGCAGAGTACAACATTGAGTGTCAGGAGGTGCTATCAGAAGAAAAGAGAGTGCCTTAAAGGCAAACAAAGTAGTATCTTCTAAAATAAAAACATAAGTAAATCTTGGGAATATTTTATATAAACCTATAAATATTTTTAATTATAAGTAGATATAATTAAAAAAAGCCACTTTTGGATTTGGAAGGCATATAAAGTTAGGTAACAATAAAATTTACAAAATTAGACAGGGAAACTGCTTAAGTGCGTATTTCATAACTGCAAATCTGAGCGTTAGCACTAATATTGAAGTGGCAATGCGCTAAAAGTTAAAAACATGACTAAGTGTGAATTTGCATAAATTCTTTTACGTTTAAGCTCATGCATAAGCGAGCAAAAAGAATTTACAGTTCACATTTTACAGTTCAAAAAGAATTTACAGTTCAGTTTCTTTTGATACATATATATATATGTATATATATATATATATATATATATATATATATATATATATATATATATATATATATATATATATATATATTATATACAGAAAATAGAATTATTTATAAAAATTATGCTAAAATGTTTGAAAGTCAAAGAAAAAAAATTTTAAAAACGATATTACTATGATTTACTAAAAAAATATAAACATAATTCAAAACGCACATGGCAAGTTATAAGTCAAATTACTGGAGATAGCAAATTAAAATTATGCTCTGTGCCTAACACTATAAAAGTTGAAAGTCTAAATATAACTTGCGGAGTTCCACAAGGATCTATACTGGGGTCTTTAGTATTTCTAATTTATGTTAACGATCTCTATGAAGTCTCAAAATTAACAACTATAATCTTTGCTGATGATACAAATCTATTCCTATCTAATAATAACATCAATAAACTTTTTTATGGTATGAAAATTGAACTACAAAAATATCTGACTGGTTTAAGTCAAATAAACTTTCACTTAACTTTGATAAAACTATATGGATTTTTTTTCATCTGCGATTTAAAAAACATTTACTTCCAAGTATACTTGGAAGTAAATGTAAAAAGTATACTTGGTAGTAAATTTTTTTTGTCTGTCTCGCGGAATTGCCCATATAAATTTAAATATATATGTGTATATATATATATATATATATATATATATATATATATATATATATATATATATATATATATATATATATATATATATATATATATATATATATATATATATATATATATATATATATATATACATATATATATATATATCACACACAGTGTTTTTTTTTTTAATCTTATTTTAGGTACCCCAAGAAGTCCTTATGGTCTTATCACAGAGTACCGCAGAAGAGCATTTGTAGGGAAGTTCACGGCTCCTTCCTTACCGATGTTATAAAACTTGTCCGGAGGTGAAGTTGAATCAAGGATCTCTAGCTTCTAAGGCAAGCGCGCTAACCACTGCACTACGACTGCAGTTGAAATCAACATGCATAGGAGAAAGAAACCTGATAAAAAACCCCCTATTTAAATTTGAGTAAGGGCTGGAAGACCTTGATAAGATTAGATGGCAATCTTCCTAGTGGTAGAATCATAATAGCAATACTTAGTATATGCGATCCAGGAGTATAACCAAAACTTTGAGCAGTACAGCAAACCAATCAAAGAGTATGACCAAATAAATTAGCCACTGGCTTAAATTACTATTACAGATGTAGTGACCGCAAAGGCACAACTACACTGTATAGATAGTAAATAGGTTCAGCAATGTCAAAGATCACCTTGTTCAACTTTTTGTCGTATACCTACCAAGTTAAAAATCAGACATTGAATTATAATTTAGATTTTAATATAATTTTATTAATTTTTAGTTTAAAATAACCTGATGATCTGGGTTAACCAAAAATTAAATTTTAATTTTTACTTTTCATACGAGTTTCACTCATTTTAATAAACTAAAAGTATGAAAATTAAAGATTTTTAAGTATAGGGTGCGTTAAACACTCGCCATACATCCACCCTCAACTGTAAGATAGATCGCTTCTATTTGCTTTTGGTCTGGATTATGCTTTTTTAGATAGTAAAAATGGTGCCCCTCTAACCTCCTTGATAAACCCGGTGGAACAATTAACATTTGTAGCTCTTTCTTACATCAATCTTTCGATACCAAGTTGTAAGCATTTAGATAAGAATTGATGAAGTTATAACAGTTTAAGTAAAAAAAAATTTAGTTTTGACCTCAATTTCTTCATATATCAAAAATTTTTGAATTGTTTGATTTTGATAACTTTTCACTTTTAAAATACTGGATTAATACTCCTTCCAACAATATGTAACGATCTAATTTTTCAACTTTAAAAATTTCATGTTACACTGTGACAGTGTAAAAACTTTGGACAGTGACTGTCCAAACTTTTTTTTTCTAAACACATTGGCTCACTTTGGAATTAATGTGAGCCGTAACTATAGGCATAATTTCAAAAAAATTGGACAATATGGATTTTTAATAATTTTGTGAAATCACCTTGAAGTTTTATATTGTTTGTATTTTTTCTCAAAAATTCAAGACTTAAATATTTTACGATATAACCTGATAAGTCTGTCCAAACATCAGTTGATAAAACCTTGATTAAGTCTGTCCAAACATCAGCTTTAAAGTTCATAACTTTAAGGGCATAACTTTCTTAGCTTTTGATTTTAGACGTTAAATCTGGATCAATTTCCCTGGGTAATATAATCTACAGGATTTAATTAAGAGCACAATCTTTTACAAATTTTTCATCATCTAGTAACATAGCATAAAGAAATTTTTCTTGACAGTAGCAGTAGAAGTTACTCTAATCTGATTTTTCAATACAATCTTTTGAATTCTGTTATCTTGTTTTTTGAATAATTTTAATGTTTAATGAAGAAATTTTAATGAATCTTAGTAATGCAGCAAACAATTTTAATAAATATTTTGCAGCAAACCACAAAACAATAGTAAGTCTGAATTATGTACTTTGTGATGCAGTTTAAATCATGTGTAGATATCTCAGTTCATGTATAAATCATTTTTTTTAAACTAAAAGTTAGCACCGTGCATAGCAAACTAGATTGGGTTTCTTGTTGGCATCCTTTGTAGAAACAGAACCTTAAGCTATTCTAATATAATACTTATAAAGTTTACGCCAGTCTATACTCAAACCACAAACAATGTCGGTTTTCACATACTCAATTCTATCTCATAATCTATGGGAACAAACTGAATTAAAAGTTGTTTATTCATAAATAAGTTAGATGCTTGTTCACCAATAAGGTCTTTATACTTTATAGGGTAATTTGTTTTTCCATCTATTTCAGATATAACATGGCGAAGTGGTAGCTAACACATGTGAAGTAAACAATCAGATTGTAGACTATCTACTAAAAGAAGGCTACGTTTTAAAGGCTTTTCTAATTTTACAGCAGTTTTAAATTATCTAGACCAGTGTTAGCACATGTATTGTCACGAACAATCGCTTCTAAGTTTAATAAATGTTTAACAGTAAGTATTGTATTTTCGAATAAATATTTTATAGCAGTGTTTACGTACAGTTCTTTTCACTTTACTTTTTTCAGATTAACCATAAATACTAATCTTGATAGCATTTAAATTTTATTTTTTGAATTTTGAATTATACAAATGTGATAATTAATGCCTAGATAATTACACAGAAAAATATTTTCATATTATTATTTATTTATTTGAAAACAACAGAAGGACACGAAGGCCACTAAAACTGAGTATACATTAACAAATTTTTTTACTGAAATGTTAAATTGTATCAAGTGCTGGACAAGTTAGACCAAAATTGTATTAACTTGAACAGAGCAGTATAGCAAGACATTTCTTAAACATCAAGACAGACGATGCAGTGATCATCAGTGATGGAGTGAAATATTTGTATTAGGGTATTCATTACTATAATTTTTCTTCGTTTAATCTAATTTTAAGCTTTAAAGGGTTGTGCAACTATTTTATATTGCTTTACAGAATCAAAATTTATTGCTAAGTTTAGATTTTTTAATAATAATAAGAAGTAATATGTCGAATATTTTACTTTAGATGCGAAGAAATTACAAACGAATATCAAGTCAGTTAGAGCCTAATGCTCATGCAATTAAAGCTGCTATGGCAACCCTTTGAATCTGATAGTTATTCACTCTGAGCAATATATAGCAGTATAATATTTTAAATCAAATTAACTGCGGAAAATGAGTTTCAATAAACTGGTCACTTTGCTTATTATTCGACAAACAACGTAAGTATATTATTAATTTGAAACCGGAACGTTAATTTTTCAAATATCTTCACCAAGCATCTGCTATGCATTAAGTGTTTAAAAAATCAAATTGTAAAGTAAGTAAAATAAAATGTATTTTAAAATAGAGAGTCTTTAACAAAAGCTCAAATAAATGATCATATTGCAAATATTGAAAAGGCCTCTCCATTGGTAAATAAATGTCAAACAATATGCATAGAGAATGCAAGCAGTTGTTAAGCAGTTCTTTTTATATATTTATAGTATATACTATACCTGTAAGCTTTTTGTATATTCACATTTTTAGTATTAATTTGTATATTTATTTAGTTATGTTTTAGTTAACAATATCTATTTAACTTAATAATTTAACGTTAAACTAATGAACTGAATAAAAAAAAAATACAATTGACATTATTTTGCAAATTAAAGTAACATTAACATTTCGTTGTTAAAAAACCTGTAATACCTAATTTTTATTTTCAGATTTTATTTTAAGCTACTTTTTATTTTAGTCTAATTAACCATAGCTAATAAAGGCTAGCAAATGCTCTTACTGTTTTTCCAAAAATTGTTTTGAACTTATTTTCTGGCACAATTATGACTAATAATTATTACTATTTAATAAGACTTTTAACTTTAAGATTTTAATTATAATAAAAACATTCAACTGTATAATTTTAATTATGAAAGTTTTATATAAACATTTAACTATGTGAGATTAATGAGCTAGCGAGTAAAAAACTTACATAGAACAAATAGTTTGATGAAAGGATAAGAATATTAACTCTTTAAAGTTTATGAAATATAAGAATATTAACTTTACTAAATAAGTTTTATCCTGTTTTTTTATTAATAAAAATTAATTTTTCTTCTTATTTTTTCATTGTAATTAGTTTTCATTATTATCTTGTTATTGTTAAAACTACTAAAGTTTATGTTAATTTCAGAATAATAAAAAATGAATAAACAAGAGAAAAATCAATACTTGAGGGAATGGCGCCAAAGTAATCGAGCTTTAAACAATGTACTTATAAATGAAGAAATTGACTCACATCATATGTCAAATTTATTAATAATAGAGTCGAAAGTTGGATTGATTTCAAAAACATTAAAATTGAGAACTATGATGACTTTTATTTTGTCTCTTATCATATATATATTTCTAGAACTGAGAGTTCTAATATATTATTTATGTTTGACAAAGTGACACCATTTACTGTAGCGTTACTTGTTAGTGATAACAAGCCAAATAATTGTGATGATTTTTAATATGATTTTTTGCATGAATATGAGTTATTATTTGCAAATGGTTTTTAGTATTATTCATATAACTTCAATTACTTCTTGAGAAAAACTGTTGCTAATGTGAAACTGTTGAAAATGGTTATGCTTACACTTTCTTTTCAATAAATTGAAAAGAAAGTGTAAGCATAACCATTTTCAAAAAGATAGAGTCCCTTGAAAAATTTTATAAGCTTGAAACCAGATTAAAAGACAACGATGAGTACAGTAAATTGGTAATTTATATTTATAATTTCTATTTTAAAACTTGTCTGTTCAATAGAATGCTATTTAAGTTCATTGTTATCTTGATGAGCCTGTTTAAATCATTTTCACATTTTACCACAATATGGTTTAAAAGGTAAATTCCTACTTATAAATCGAGAATTATCTTAGTGACCTGATAGCCATTTACATTCTGTAGAATTTTTTACATTCTTGTATTTTTGTTAAATTATTTTGTCTTATATTTGGTTTAGCAATTATTATTTTGTTGCTTTTATAGAACTGTGAAAAACAACCAAATAAATCTAATCCTGTCTTATTCCAACATGAACTTTTCTCTAAACTTTTATTTATGTTTTAGCTTTGTCACCTTATAAAAGCAGGAGGAAAAATGTTAGAGAAAATACAAAAAATGTTATGGTCAGGTATGTATTTTTGTTTAATTCTGAATAATCAAACTGTTTAAATTGTGAGTAAATTTTATAGAAAAATCTAGCCCAAGGAAAGTAATTTAGAAAAACAAACAATTTTAATATTAATATTTGGGGAGAACTATAATGAATTGAACGCTGATTGAATGGGACAAAATCAAATTTACTTATAAGCATCTAAGGTTAATTGGTTAAAAAACTCCAGTGGTAAGAAATGTTAAACACAACAATTCAACAGACCAAATCATTATTCCTATCATAACCTAAACATGATGGGCCAAACATAACATTAAAATTGTTGCATTAATGGGAATTAATAGCACATTTCTCCTGGCGCAACAAACAATTTTCAATGTATAAATTAGACAACTTTATCAACTTTTAAAAAGTCTTTTAAGAAAACTGCCCAATTCATTTAGGTTCTCCGCTACAGGTTTCAGCTTTAATTCGATGTCGAAACTTTGAATATAAAACATTTATAAAAAAGTAAAATTTATTCAAAATTATACTTTGTAAATTATTACTCTAATGTGTGTTTACATTTAATTAAATAAGTTCGCTGGATCGATTGATGTAGTATAACAAAATAGTTATTTTTCATTTGTTATTTTTTATTACGTTTTTATAGAATTATGGAGCATCATGTGAAGCCTAGGTTCAATATGAAAAGCAAAATTTGTGGTGATATAAAGAAGGTATCGTTCGAAGATAAAAAGTTGTGTAAAGCAATAATTTTGGTTTGTTAATAATAGCTAAATATTGTTCTATCTATCCCTTCTTCTTTACATATGTTTTTTATTCTTAGATTATATAAGTCTTGAACCTTGAATGTTAGCATTGAAAATCAAACAAATAGTCAATTATAAATAAAATAAATTTTTAACTGTTATCCCGTGTACAGTATCCCGTGTTGTATTTTAGAAGTCATCCAGCGCGAGAGTTCGACGAAAACAAACAACAGATCAAATAGAAAGCGTTTTAAAGTTCTCTCCATTGAACAATTATTTATTTTTGAGTTTTTTTGTAAATTTATAATACAAAAGAATATATAATACATCTTTAAAAAAAATCTTTAAAAACATTTATTTTGTTTTTAGTTTGAATATTTCCAAAACTATTTTTCTAACCCTTTGTAAGGGGATTAAAACCTTTATATTAATTTTGAATATTGATTGTAATTGTGCTTAACATTTAATGTTAATATATACGGTTATATTCATATAACCATGACACAAAGCCGCGTTTAAAGAGCTTTGGATCAGGGTTATATGAATATAACTATAGCTATATTAACATTAAATATTACACAATTACAATCAATATTTTACGTTAAAAAAAAACGCAAATGTTTTTCCAACTTGTATCTACGTGAATCTAACTTTAGAATTTTACGTTAATATAACGTTAATATCTAACGTAAATCTAACGTAAGAATTTCACGTTACAAAACTTTTCCATTTTGCCGAACCGGCAACGTTATTCTAACATAAAATCTAACGTAAATAAAACGTTAATACAACGGGTCAGAGCAATAAGATTCGTTTTTGCCATGTATAATAACATCCGTGAAACAACATCCCAAATTTCATTGATGTATAATAACATCCGCACAACTACATCTGTAGATTTTTCGGATGTAACCACATCCAAATTTTTTTTTTTAATGCATAATTTTAACCAGATGAAGTTACGCATCTGATTTTTTCCGGATGTAACTACATCCGCCAAAAAAAAAATTATTATAATGCATTATTTTAAGCATAATAATTTTTTTTTTTTTTTAATTATTTGATAGATCTATCGACTGAGGGTTAGGTTTGGGCAGGCAGTCTATAGACTGCCTGCCCAAACCTAACCCTCAGTCGATGTAGCAGCACTCCGTTGCGAGTCAGGCTATTTGTCAGTCGATGTAGCAGCACTCTGTTGCAAGTCAGGCTATTTATCAGTCAATGTTGCAGCACTTATATAATATAATAATTATATATGTAACTTATAAATGTAACTACAACCGGAGTTTTTTTTTTAATAATGCATTATTTTAACCAGATGTAGTTACACATCTGATTTTTTTCGGATGTAACTACGTCCGAAAATTTATTTTATTTAATAATGCATTATTTTAGGCGGATGACATCTTTCTAAAGATGTTATTAGACAATGAAATTTCGGATGTTGTTGCACATGTTAATTCAGTAAAGAAAAAAGCGGATGATCTTACACAAAAATGTGCGAATGTTACTTCACTACTTCACGGATGTTGTTGGACAGATGTAGTAATCTTTTCCCAATACAACGTTGTGTGCCTGCTGGGTAAATCTTATTCAAAACTAAATTCTTATTCAAATCAGAATCAAGGACCTTTTTCGTGAAAATGTTTTCCAAACATTGTTGCTGAGAAAAACATTTTACATTTTTTTTAAATAGATCAATAAAATCATCTAAAACACTAAAAATCAACTAAAAAATCATTTTTTTTTTTTGTTTTTTTTTATCTAATTTATTTATAATATTACTTTTAATTAAGACGATCTTATTTTAATCTTAATATTTTTGTAAACATTTCTTAGTTTATATTTTATACTCTTGGAAAAAATTTTGTAAAAAATATATATTGTAACACGGTGCTCGGCGATAAAACAAAAATAATATCTTCTCTTTACTCCAGCCATTAGTTTTATTTGTAAATTTTTGTAGGTTGTTTAAACTTCTTCAACGGCAAAATATGTCCAAAAAAAAAGTTAAAAAAAAAAAAAAAAAATGGTGAACCAACGATGAATTTTGCCTAAAATAAAAACTACCTTTTTTATTGACATATGAATATATAAAATTCTTATTTATTATATTCTAATTTTACTATTATCAGTGCGGCAATGGATCGTATATTATGATGTAAGTGTTAAAAGAGAATTAACTTAAATTAAAATTTAACTAAATTAATTAAAAAAAATTAATTATTTAATTAATTATTTATAATTTATAAAAATTAATTAAAAAAAAAAAATTAAATTAAAATTTAATTTTTTTTTGATGCTCAAAAAAAAATTAAATCCAACAATCAGAATAATTTAAGATAATATTAATCTAAAATAGTATTAAAAAAAATAATTTAAAGTTACAACGCTCTAAAATTTTTTAATTAATCTCAATTATCATTAATCATAACACACCCCCAGCCAGAATTCATGATAGCTTTATATAGCTGACCCAAAGAAATGGCTGGGTGTATATGAAAGCCCTTGGTGTCAGGATTTCAAAAATATAAAATTTGAAATCCAACTATTTTGTCACGGAAAATAAATTGAGTTTTTATTTTTATTATATTACAGCAGCTAGACAAATGACAGAATACCCATTTTTTGCATTTTTACAGCATCAAAAAATTTGAGTTAGTGATAATTTTATTCCTTCAGTGATATCATATGTATTCGTTCATTTGACAGAACTGGTTTGATAAAAATAAACAATAATACATTCTAACAAAAAGGCTGTAACAAAAATAATGCAAAACTTTTTTAATTCTTGAAATAAGTCTTCTGCTCCTGTTTCAAAACTGCCTTTAAAGATTCTTGCTGTTAAAGTCAACTTAGCATGTTTGAAGCTGCCTTCCATATTCTAAATGGGTTGATGGTCTCTTGTATCTTTGCCAGTGTTGATGAAAGTGATGGTGCATCGCTTCTGTCGTTTGTTCACTGAAGATTCCCAAAGCAGTACTTTTCTTTTGGATGAAGTCCTTCACATTAAAAAATACTGCATGCACTTTTGGAGTCACGCTTCCAGATGGCATTGCCATATATGCTTCTCTGAATAAGTCAATTTTTCTAGAGAAATCAGAAGATAATGTGGACCCAAAGCAAGCACTGAACACAGCTTCAAATTTCCGGAAAGTGTTGATAATGGGACAAATATAAATTGAGGACGTTTTCTCTGCAAGATTTTGCAATAAATGAACCACATTTCCGAAGTCTTTTTCATGTCACGTCCTGCAGCATCAAAAGCTTGACAGGATGATTTGAGAGACCCAAAGGTGCGAACATTTCCAGATTGTGTTAGATTATTTGATGGGACATCACACCACGTACAAGGATGTGATGATGAGTGAGACTAAGGTCCACAGAGGATGTGGCCAGCTTCAGATCACAAGAAACAACAAAATCCTTAGGGTTAGGCTTGATGAGAGACATTTTGGACATTCAAATATGTTTCTGATAAGTCTTCAGCAATTGCAATGATAAGCTGACCATTGCTGCCACTATATATGAAAGAGTTTGTAGTCAAGTTTTTCTAACATGGAGGAGAATCATCTTCACAAGGCATTTTCTCAATAGCTCCCAGTGTGACTTTCAGAAACCCACCACCACCATCAATGCCAAGTTTGATTAGTGGCTTGGTGAAGACTTTTCGTGAAAAAAGAACTTCATTTATCAGTTCTTGCAGATCTTTACAGTGAACTACAAGTTTCTTGCCAATAACTCCATTGCCTTGTTCAGGTAGAATATCTGTTCGATCAACAAATCCGGCAAGTGAGTTTCCTATTGCAGAAAATTTGGAGCGAATGTTTGGCTCAGTAATTCGGACTGAATAAACTTTCAATGTTGTCGCTAACTTTTTCACGTTTGTGTTTGACAATCCAGTATTGATTTGCACTTGAACGAGATCCCCTGCAGTAACTAAGGATGTTAATCAAAAGAGTCTTCATGCACTTGAAGGACCTATAAGTAAATATTTTGGCAATTTTATTTAAATTTTACAAGTTGTCACAATTAAAGTAATTGACTTTTCTCAAGAATTGACCACATTTTTGGCATTGAGAACTAATAAAATTGAACACATTTAATTATACTACAATAAAGTCATTTTTACCTGGGGTGACAGGTAAAGGTTGTCCACTTTTGCTTGAGCCAGACGAATTGTTCCTTGAGGCAAAGCATCTGTGCCAGCTATTGCAGAAGCTGCAATTTGTTGAGCAATTGTGCTGTCATTTGATGCCAAAAGTCTCATATTTTCACAAAACTTAGCTTCAGTGCATACGTGAGAAATTTCTTTCCCCAGAACCGGCATTTGAAACATCTGTGGTCAGAGGTTGAATTTTTATTCACAGCTTTCTCTTCACATATTGTCATCTTTCTGACTTTTTCAAGAGGATGGGATTCATTTAGCTTCAGATGCCCAACTTGACATATAATGCAATCACAGATCAGTCCGCTTGCAGGTCGCCTGACATTGATGGTTTCAAAGGCATAGAGTCTTGGCATGACAACCTCTTTTCCATCAAGTTTTCTGTGCAGTGTTGAACTACATCTTTCACAAATCCCAATTGGCGTTCGTTCATCTTCAAAGCTGATCTTTTGTTCAAACAAGCTTGAAATTTCCTGTGCCATTGATGGTGAAATTGTCCTTATGCTTTTTTTCAAGCACAAGAAACACACAGTTTTCCGGCAATCTTTGTGAGTTTTAGTTTGATTGGGCATTTTGAAAGGTAGGTAGCTCTTTTTGCAAAGTCATAAAAACAAAAAAACAATGTTATAGTCATGTAATAATAAAATTATCACTCACTTAAATTTTTTTGCATACCGTAAAAATGCAAAAAATAGTTATGCTGTCATTTTTCGAGTTGCTGTAATATAATAAAAATAAAAACTCATTTTATTTTCTGAGACGAAATAGTTGGATTTCAAATTTTATATTTTTGAAATCCAGACATCAAGGGCTTTCATATGCACCCAGCCATTTCTCTGGGTCAGCTATATACAGCTATCATGAATTCTGGCTGGGGGTGAACATAGAAACATATAAAATATACTGAGACGTTTTCTATTTTATGTTTTTCATTTTATTATGAATAAATTTGTATATCACATTAATAATTTTATTCAAAGAAAGAGATGCAGATATTTATTATTACCTAAAACTATAAATATATAGTTGTTATTGAAAATTTTTTGTAGTCATCATTAAAATCTAAACTTTGAAATTTTTAATGCGCTTGCTTATAATAACTAGTCGCTTTTAAACGACCGTAATTATATATATATATATATATATATATATATATATATATATATATATATATATATATATATATATATATATATATATATACAGGGAAGGATGCAGATTCACTTGATCTTTGAAATAACTTTCAGTAGGGTGAGGAAAACTGGATATCCGGTCCAATTTGTTAAAACCCGAATCCGATTTTAACAAATCGGATCGGATATCCGGTTTTGCTTACCCTTACCCTTCAGACATGTAGCGAACTCCGAACATTTATATGTTTATATTTGTTTTAAAATGTTTATATTTGTTTTGCTTTGCAAAAAATTATGATTGTTAGAGCATGGGAACAAAAAAACTTTAAACTTTAGGCGTACCTGAGCAACAAGTTGATACACTATTTTTTTTACTATTCTCAACTTAATTCACAATCACCGATAAATTTTAAATCTCGTACTACAACCTCTAATTAGAGGTTATAGTACGAGATTTAAAATTTATCATAGTACATAATACTTAGTATTATGTACTACTAGCAGTAAGCAACCCGTAATACGCGTTGTTAGTAAATAAAATTAAAAAAAAAACGCGCATAGAAAAGCCTAGAAACTACTTTAAAATAGAAAAGCCTAGAAAATGACGTAACTCGACTAATATTAAATTAGCGTATTCATATTATCAGATAATAAATTTTGAATCTTGTACTATAACCTCAAGTATTATGGCCTTATAAAACTTTATGTACTCATAATTTTTTAACTTTAAGACATTAATTTATGAAATTTAAAGTTTATTAACGAATATAAATTTAGTTAATTTTTAAAAATATTTGAATTAATTTAAATATTGATAATTTATATCGTTAAAATATTTGTAAATATTTAGTTAAAAATATCTGTATTTAGGAATATTCAATTTAAATATTTATAACTTATGTTTATCTTAAAAACAATTATTTTCATTAAAGTTTATGTGTTTAGAAAGCAAAAAAATTTGCATTGTGTTGAAAAATTTTTTATTAATAGCATCTACGTCAAAACAGACTTGTTAATGATTGGTTTTCTGCCTAGGTATTATTATTAGAATATTTTTAATGATTATTGAAGATGAATTGAGGTTTTTTGCAACGCGTGCAATCTGTTAATTTTGCTACCTTTGTTTAAACAAAAAAGTTGTGCTTAATTTTACAAGATCGCAATTCATGATTTTACTCCCCCGATCCCAGAAACAACTCAAAATTTAAAACAATTTTTATTTTCTAACTCAAACGGCAAAACATAAGATACAAAAAATAAAAAAACATTTTTCAATTGGTAGTGTTAAGATATTCAAAATCAAAATATTTCTTTGCCGTTGCTTTCTGAAATCTAATGGTCGTCTTGCAATCAATATGTTGTTTGCCTTTAAACTCTACAACGTAATTGTCACCTTGCAATGGATCTGAAATTTTGTCTCCCAAATATAACGGGCTTCCAGATATATCTGGAATAGTGATGATGGTCCCCATATCTAAAATGACTTCTGGAACGCTGTGAGGAATTTGATCGAGTTCCACAACCTTGCAGAAAAAATAAGTAAAAACTTTAGTAAAAATAAGTATAAACTTAAACTCTAATAAATAGATAATAATCTTTTTTAAATATATTCATCGCGAAATCCAATACTGCTCATACTCGTACACTCGTAAGGTATAAAAATGTATTAATCAAATAAACATGTAATTTGAAAATTAAAATCCGAGTTCTTCGACTCGATAAAACTCTATTATAAATACCGAATGTTTTTAAAATTGTAGAAAAAAATAGTCTTAATAGCTGAATATGATAGTAATATCTGCAAAAAATTTGTAGCACAACACCATCGTCAACTCCCAGTAAACACAGATTGGTTCAGAATTTATCAATATTTAGTCGAAATTGGTCGAAAAATGGATAAAACGTTTAGCGACCTATTATTGACTAAAAACTGACGCTTGATTTGAAACGTTTACTAAACGTCGATCTAATGTTTAGAATATCGACTCACATTAGTCAATATTGTAAACCTTTAATCGACCTTAATTAAAGGTAAACATTTATAGATTTAAAATCTACGCTTTCAATCTTTTAATATATACGTTTGTTAAACGTCGATCAAACATTAACAATATTGACTAATATAAGTCGTTATTCTAAACGTTTGATCGACGTTTAATAAACGTTTATTATATTATAATATAGCCTTTTGTCAGAAGACTCACATGACAGCTTAAGTCACGCGGTTTTAATAGGCATAATTAAAACGAAATATAAAACTTATAAAAAAAATAATTTTTATTGGCTAAATAATTAAATTAGACTTAAATGCGTTTTCAAGATTCACTTCCTTACAACAACTGAAAGCAAAACGACTCATAAATAAATAATAAACGAGTGTCGGGTGCGCCATATTAATTCATGGAAGTTAAAAAGCTCTTATCGCGACAATCTACCTTCTTAAATGCTAACAAATCAATGGACTCCGATGTTTTAGAAATTATTGATGGGCACATTGACACAGTTAAAAAATATGAGTTGCTGGTCTCTCGTTATGAAAGCCCTGCTGCAAGAACTTGTTTCGTATTGTTTCGTATTGTAAACACTAGTATAATTGTGTAACAGTAGGTAATCATCTTTGGAATAATCAAGAGGTTTAATAACTAAATATTTCTTTTCTAATTTTAGATGCATTTTAGCTTAATTTAGTTACATTTGTTAAATGAAATTGGTGGAACCGAGCTGGCAAAAACCACAGCATATGTTATGTTGTGACGTTATTAACTTTTTAGTGTCAAAAATAAACGTGGATGGTTCGGAAACTTCCATTCAGAAAATCCTTTATATGTAAAGTTGTTCTGTGTAAGTCCAATTTTGATTTATGAATTTACATTTAAAATGCTAACTATTTTATCCTTGTTTTTTGTGGTTACAAATCAGGTTACGAAACCAAATGATCACGATACAAATGTAGAAGATGATGTTGCACAATCAGGTGTAAGATGAACAAGCGGTAGACGGTATTCTAGGAAGAACTTTGATAATGCATAACCAGAGAAAGCAGTAATCCGAAATATTTGTTTATGAGTTTATTAATTTTATTCGAAATCTTTAACTTAATCTTAGTGCAAACTTTTCTTTTCTGTTAATGAGATTAAATTTATAAAATATTTGATAGAAATTGTTACTATAAAATTTTCACTGCAAAAAGCTTGATCATTTAATTTTTTTTTTAATTATCGAAAGATAAACAAATATAGGGTAACTTTACATAATTTCACCCATCACTCAATCTCGCCTACAATCTTTAATTGCTTATATGTCAGTTAACTCACACGCTGCACCATCAAAAAGACGTCCTTTTAGAGCAGCAAACCAGCCTTAGCAACATCAAAACAATTTTTAATTCAAAAGAATCGCAAATAAAAAAGTATCTTTCAAAGAAAATTTGTTGGTTTTCGTTAATTTTTTTGCTACTTAATTTGCCGAATTTAAACCAGCTGATGCAAATCTACCAAGTTAATTATTTATTATGCATGTTAAATTATAATTTAATTTTGTTCTCCACTGTTTAATCTCTGATTGTAATAACATTTATAATCGTTTGAAATGGTAGAATATGCATATAATTGTTTTCTGCTCAACCTGCCAAATTAACTCAATCTCGCCCACAGAATAAATATATTGTTGCCCCCGGGTGGGCGAGAATAGATGCAGCATAATATATTAGGACTTACGCCACCAGTAGTTTTAACAAAAAAAGCTTTTCGCCGTAACCCCCATTATTTTTTAATTAAATTGGGATGACATATTTAAAAAATAATTGAAAAACAAAATCAAAAAATTTCGTAAGGATATATATTAAGAGCATAACCTTTTTGAATGCTAACGAAGGAGTATTTTTTATGTATTTTGATTTTATATATATTTTTTTTTTTTTTTTTTTTTTTTTAACATCTTCACTTCCAACAAGGCTGCAAGCAACCACTATAAGAGTTGGAAGTTACTGGAAGAGAAAAGACTAAATCTGTAGAGCAAGATAACGATTGACTGATGATATATTATTGAGGAAATTGACTGACTGATAATATATTATTGAGGAAATTGATTGACTGATGATATATTATTGATGATATATTATTGAGGAAATTATTTTATAAATTAATTATCGTAAAAATAAACCCCAAACTTACTTGATAATTACTATGACAAAAATTGATGATATCCACGTTAATTTACTTTTGGTTGCCTTCAAAACAATACTCTTTCTCTGTGTTTTTTCTTTTAACAAATTAATTAAAAAATAAATTGCTATGGCTCTGCGTTGAGTAATTGTATAAAAAGCTCATGTTCATCAAAACCAAATAAATTAGCAAGATAAAGAACAAAGAAAGTATCGCAAATAAGTAAACTTTGTCTGCTATTGCATTTTCTTTTGCTGATAATTATTGATGAAAAAGAATTTGGAATTTTATCTTTTTATGTTATGTTTTTTTTTTTAAATAATTTTTTAATATTTAGAAATAATGCATAATTTATTTAAGATTGTTTTATTTATTTTCAATTTAAGAACTAATGTTTTAGTTATCAAAATAACTAAAACATTAGGTCCAAAATGTTAAGTTCAAAAGGTCTGAAATTCATTTTATGCATAATAAGAATGTTTTTATTCTTCTTTAATAGACTTTTGTAATTACTTACATAAATGCTTATTTACTTCATTGTAAATTAAGTAGAAGGATATGACTACAAATACTAACATATGGTTTTCTATATGTGTTAATCTTGTAAATTTGGAGTACTTTATTAAATTAATATGACAACATCTGGTAAAAGTACTCTTGACATTTGTCAAATGAAACAGGTAGCAACAATTGACGTTTCTTTAACTCGTGTCAATGGTTCTAATCATTCCATTGATCAATCAGTCACTGTTAAGAAATGGGACAAATTCCTGAAATCGAGTGAAGAAAATATGATGAGTGCAATTAAGCATGTCAAATCAGAGCTATCATTTTCAGTGCGTAAGACATCAATATTGTACAATGTGCCACGTACAACGCTGAGAGACAAACTATCTGGAAAAGTTGTAATTGGAGCAAAGCCAGGAAGAAAACCTACCCTACCTTTTGCTCTGGAAGAAAAAACAATCGATTATGCCAGCAATAGAACAAAGTTAGGGGTAGGTTTTGGAAAGTCACAGCTCCTGAATTATAATGGGAAACTTGCAGCAAAACATAAATTCAAGCAACCAGCGGTGTAATAGGAATAAACACCGGCATGGGCATAAACTTACTCTGCGACAACCTGAGGGTACAGCTTCAGTTTGACATCAATGTATGGATAAAGATAAAGTGTCAAAGTACTTTAGTGCTTTGAATGACGTCATGAAGAAAAATGGTTTTCACTTTAAACCAGAATCCATATGGAATATGGATGAAACTGGTCTACAACTTGATGTAAAACCAAGAAAAGTGGTTGCACGAAAAGGCAAAAAAAATCTCCATAGTCGAACAAGTGGAAATTGAGAGTCAATCACTGTTATTGCATGTGTGAATGCACAGGGCAAGTTCATTCAACCCCAGGTTATAGTGAAGGGAAAGACATTCAGGTCTTTATGGGGTTTTAACACTGAGTTCGCGCTTTCGGGAACAAATTGGAGCTGATCAGATAGTGGTTGGACTAAACAAGGCCTAGCAAAACTATGGTTTACCAAGACTTTTTTAGAAAACATTGGTCCACAACGTCCTCAGATCTGATGGGTCAGTTTCCAGGAATTATTACTTGTTGTTCATATTTTGCAGGTATATTTGCTTCAGCTTGGGAAAAAGCAATGACTTCTAGCAACATTACATCTGGGTTCAAGTCGTTAGGAATTTATCCATTTAATCAGGCTATTCCTAGTGATGCATATTTACCAAACTATCTACACATAGCTGAGGATATATCAGTTAATACAACTGAAAACAATTGTTCTTTGGTTAGTATTGTACTATTGTGTTTTTGCTAATACTACTATACGACAAAAATTATTATTTAAACTTTAGCTAGCAACTGTGACTAATGTTTTATGTACAGTTGATATAAATTCTGAATGAAGCATAAAGTTTACTAACTTGCATATCAATAGTATTATTCATTATTTTCTTAGGAATTCCAATCATCAATTGTTCAAGAAATTAATTTTTCAGACGTTGATGATTCTAAAGATGCTGGAAAAGTTGTTAATTATCTAGAACAATTACAAAATGGCACAGAATAAGATAACGCAACTCACAGTTTGTTACAAAAAAACACTACTATTTTGGAAGCAGAGACTATTGTTCGTAATAATCAGCTTGCATATTTAGTCAATCTAGTTGAAGAAAAAAATGTTGACTGTATTGTGAATAGTTTTACCAATCTTACTAAGAAAAAAAAAAAAAAAAAATCTTAGAACCATCAAACTTTAATTCTACTACAGTTTCAGATTTTCCGTTTGCAAACTCTTCCTCTTCCCTGGTAAGTTAATTATTTTACAGTTTTTTTTCATTTCATTTGATCAAGTGATCATTAGTTACATAGTAACAATGCAACTTTTAATAAATTTTTAGTTTTAAAATAATTCAAGTTTTTTTTAAACTATTAAAATACTTGCTCTTTTATTGAATATATATGTTTTTATCAATGCAAGTGATGGAGATGATGATGTCTTGGCATATCCTAAGGCCACCGCACGGAAAAAGATAGACTTCTCAAGAAGCATACTCAGCAAAGCTGAAATATCACCAAGATTAAATCCAACAGTAAAGAGAAAAATGTGAAAGAAAATAATTGTGATTTGTTAATGCTGCTAAGCAACTCAAAGAAAAAGAATAAAAAAAGAAATTGGTTAAGAAAAAAAAAAAAAGAAAATCATGCCAATAAGTCTATAGCAACAACAAAAAAGAAGTTTATTTCATTATCATCTGAATTGCAACCATTGGTTGATCCCGAGAACAATACTGACTAATATGTACTAAATATTTGACAATATTTTTTTATATAACTAAAAATGTATACAATTTCGTCTTATCTATATAAACTTATTATTTTTATTTAAATATATTCTAATGGTTTTATTTGTGATAAGATCTAATGGTCTTATCACTAAGCACCATCACAAAGGTTTAACCATTTAATGAGTTGGTTCCCCATTTCAAGCTTTACCGATAACGTATAAGTGTTACAAGCAGGAATTGCACTCGCAACACTTATACAATGAGTACCATGCTCTACTTAATACGCTACGGGTGCTTAATATAAAAATTAAACTCATGACTGGGGCAAAAAGGAGACAATATTTGTCATATTACTACGGCTCGTAAGCATTGATGTGTTGAAACTATACTTTATTTACACATTTTACAATTACAATTGAGATTGATCTCAGAATCCAGATTCAAGTCAGAAGCTAGAGAGAAAGTTTGCATTTACAAAAACCCCATGGTTTTATACTTTTCTAATTAAAATGGTTGAATTCCGCATAGAAATTAACTAACGAGATTTAATCTCACTCACCTGTATATAACGTTGCCCTACGCAAGTATAAGTTCTTTTTTAATTTACACAGTGGGCGACTTTAAATTAACATGGCGAGATTGAGTTCAAGTGGGCAAGAATCAGTGCTTTTGACACAATCTACAAATTATAATGGTACTGCCAACTACTTTCATAAAATCTAAATGATTTTACATAGTTTTGTAGCTGAAGGAATAAGCTATCTAATGATGTACAGTTCAGCTGTGCAAGTCTAATAATAGCCTGTCAACATCAATTTTAGTGCGGATGTGGGCGAGGTTTAATTAAGTTACCCTAGTGCACAAAATATTTTTCTTCAAATCCCCACTATATTAAAACGTTTTATATAAGTTTATAATTTTATATATAGTTTTATAATATGAAAGTATATTAAAAACTATATTAAAACTATATTAAAACGTTTATTATCAAAACTATATTAAAACAATATTTATTATATTTATACGATAATTTATATATACAATATTTATATATATATATTTAATTATATATGTACGATATTTATTATATTTAAACAATATTTATATATTTATTATTATTTATATATTTATATATTATTATTATTTATATATTTATTATTATTAATACGATATTTATATATTTATTTAATTATATATATACGATATTTATTATATTTAAACAATATTTATTATTAACTATATTAAAACGTTATTTATTATTAAAACTATATTAAAACTATATTAAAACGAAACTATATTAAAACGTTTTATATAAGTTTATAATTTTATATATAGTTTTATAATATGAAAGTATAGTATAAGTAGTATAGTATAAAAGTTTATAAACATACTATAATAGTTATAAAAAATGTAAAAAATAAGACCAGGTCTTTTATAACTATATCTTATTTATAAATTTTATTACTTTTATAACTATATCTTATTCATAAGTTAAAAAGTTATAACGTAATTTTAATTTGTATCAGTTTTTAAACTTAAACAAATTGAAATTACATTAACAAAATCAAAGAAACTATTAGACAAGATCTAAAAGTTTAATATAGGTTTACTTAGACTAAATCTAAATGTTTTTTATATGTTAATTAGACTAGATTTAAACGTAAAGTAGACAAAATCTATATGCTTTATATATGTGTAATAATCCTATAAAAGACGTCTAAAATACGCTTAAATGTAGATGTTTTATGGACGTTTGTTCTAAACGTTAATCTGGATTTTAATCTAAACGGATTACCAACCAAATCTGAACGTTTTGTCGAAATGCTGTTTTGACGTTTAATAGACGTTTTTGTGTTTAATGGGCTAAATGCCAAGTATTAAAATATTAAATGTTAAATATAACTTAAAAACTAATCATTGAGACTAAATATTATAGGCCTAATTATAATAAGCCTAATTTTTTAAAAAGATATATATATACATTATTTTTCTTTATATTTATAACTTCATAAAGTTGCTCAGTTCAAATGAATTTATTTAATAATGTATGAGGATAGATCATTATTTGATTGTAATGTTTTCCAAGTTCTCTAAAAACCACAATGGTATTAAAATTTACATCCATTAGCAACAGGTTTCCAAGGAAAGATTTAATTAATTTAATTAAATCCTTGAAAGATTAAGATTTATTTAAATTTCTCGAATTCACGATATCAGTATCTTGTATAAAATTTTAAATGAGAAAAATTTGTATGTTTTGGTTGGTTTATAAATTTTAAATAATTAAACATTTTGTATCTACAAGCGGACTCCTTTGTCATTTAAAAATCACAAAGAACTGGATTTAAATATAAAGCATCAACACGAAAACACTAGATTACAATAAGAAATGTACAAACACAAAAAATAAAATCGCAGTATTTGTTAAACAGCAGGCTATTAGCGAAACTGTGTCAAAGCTAGAAACAGTAGATGACTTGTTAAATGCTAAAAGTGAATGTTTATGCTTATTGAGACTTATATTAGTATACTAATATAAACTGTATGCTAAAAATAAAATAAAAATATTGCCGGAAAACCCGGGAACCCCTGGATAAAGAAAACTAAACCCCGGGAATCTCGGGATGCAAAATATAAAGAGAAATGAGAATCGATAGACATTAACAAGCATTAAACATTGACTTTGGAACTCTAAAATTTATTAATATAATTTAATTACCCTTATCAAGTTCATTTACAACATCATTCAACTCAAGTTAAAATTATCAATACCTTAATTAGTAACATAGATTCTTTTTATAAAATGTATTTAGTAGATCTTAATACTTTGTTCATAACACTTTTAATTTTTACATCAATATAAATTGATATATAACTAGTAAAGCTTATCACTTTGAGGCTAATTTATATAGTACCATACAATACTATATATACAACATGACAAAGACATACCAAAAAGTCACGAGACTTGACAGCTTTTAGAAGGTAAATTTAAGATAATTTTAAAAAAATAAGTTGGTATTAGATAAATAAAACTTAGCCTTCCTAATACAAGGATGAACTAGATCAATTTATACACACTAAGTGGATCAACCAATTTATTTAATTTACAATGAATAAAATTTAATGATTAAATTCCCTTACTTATGTTCAACATAGTTTGAAATAAAGGAAATTCATTTTTTTTTTATCTCAAAAAAAGTTTGAAAAAATATGTTTTAAAATGGGGTTAAGCCCACCTTAAATAAAATCAATACCTGATGAAAATCTTTACACTTAGTGATCACATGTGAAATAAATGCACGCTTCTTGTCTCCATATAAAAAGTATTTCTGGTATGTTGGATACTCTATGAAATTTGCAGATTTTAGATCCTCTAAGTGTTCATAGCGAAAAACTTCGTCTACTATGAGATTAACTGTGCACAAAACAGTACCCTCAGCGCCATCTTTAAAATAAAAATCATTTTACTTTTTATAATTAATTTCATAAAAGAAAAATTGAAATACTCAGATTAAAAATGTTTTTTACATTTGTAAAGCTCCATTGAAATCCCATTTTCTGTTGTCTTACGCAAAAAATCCATTATAGTTGTTTCATATTTTGTCTTGCATACATATGTTGAATCAGTATTGCAACTTTCTCTTTAAGAGAAAATATTTTGTCAATTTAATTTAGATTGATAATAAAAATATTAAAAAGATATTAGTAAAAATAGAAAGTCAGTTTAAAGTAAAAACCTTACATAAATTTGATTTTTTCAGTTTCATCGACAGCTTTCATTGTTAAAACAACATTATACTGGTGAGATTTATTAGCAAATGTTGGAATATAATCAAGGAATACTTTATTTTCATCATCAATCATTTTGCCACTTACAATAAAACGATGATGAGTTGGGACATCACCATATGAACTTTTTAACTAAAAGAAAACTCAATATAAAAATAAAATCTATTTAATCTAGTGTACATATTTTTCAAATTTTTAGCATTAAAATATAATTATTTTAAAATGTTTAAAAAACATACTCCTCCAATACTATTCATGATACAGTTTCTGAACAACTTTGAAATTTCTGTAACATAAGCCTCGCTTGCTTGGAATGGATTCATCGCAGTGTTTCGTAGAAAATTAATTTTTAAGGGGTCACTTAAACCGAGACGGGTTTTAAATTGACGAAAGGCCTCTCCATATTTTTCTTCTTCCAGCTCTGATTTTGTAAGAAACAATGGCACACGTTTTGAGGATTTACCAACCGTTCCTAAAATAACAAATGCACAATGCAAACTAGAAAATGTTTATTGAAAAGTATACAGTAAAAACAAAATAAAACAATTTTAAAGTAATCACCGAAATGCCATTGGTGATTGCAGTGCATTCCTGAGAAGGGGGATTACCATTCATCTACTATATAATTCTAATTGGTTATATTGGCACCAACATTTTTACTTCTTAGACCCATGAATTTTAGCGCTTAGCAAGCTTTATATTATACATTTGTTACAATATTTATAAATTTTGCAGTTACACAGGTGGTTATCAATAAATTGTTTATTGTTTAGACCATGAATTGTACCACACAATTACTGTGCCTATTTTTTAGAATAAGGCATACCTCCACTATAGCATGGTATACTAGCGCACTGCATCATAAATTGAAGATTCAGAGTTTAAACCTCAAAGAGCGCGCATTTTTTAAATATTTATTTTTTTATTTTCCTTATTATCATTTATTATCATTTTTTCTTACAATTTTATTATCTACTTATTTTATTTTATTGCTTTATTGCTCAATATTTTTCATGGGAAATGCCTTTATTACACTAGTGGATTTATATAGACTTGTCAACTCATAGGCCATTGTTTTATCATTTGCTTAGGATGACTAGACGCACATTATGGTTCTCCCTATCCCTGAGTTAGAAAATTTTATTCCTTCTACTAAACAGCCTTTAC